CTTCGCTGAGTATCCTCTTCCTCTTTTCTTCTTGTCACACAGATGTGCTTGTGCAGGCTTGGTTACCCCCTGTAGAGGCCACAGCTTTTTCACGATGCAGATACAGCACCTCAATCTTCCACTTTATTGAATTTCCCGAAGACAGGAGTTAAGCCTCATCTTTGGCCAGGTGCATAGTAGGTTTAGAATTTTATTCTAGTATTATTTGAGGTCTGCCCTGTGGATTTCAGATCTGCCTAGCCAGCTTCCACAATCATGCAAGCCAAATCCTTGCAGTCAACCTCTTAGCACATATCTCCCGCTGATTTTGCATCTTGAGTCTAGTACCCATGTGCCAGGCCACAGGTATTCGCTGTTTTAGAAAGAGTATCACAGTAGCGACTGTAGCAATAGTGACCTAACATTGACTCTCAGGGAGGTGGCATTCTGAGCGCGCGCGCACACACACACACAGAGTGCTTACTGAATGCTTGGAGGACTGCATCAAGGCGTGCCTCTCCAAAACAGAGGTAGAGGCCCAAGAATGATAAAGCAGCGAGGGCCAGCTTCCCAGCCTTTGAGGTGCAACAAACTGTGGGCCACAACTCCTTAGCTGCGTTGGTCTGTTGGCAGAAGACGCATACATTTGCGAATATTTGTTACCCTGCTGCGTGCGTACTACTGAATTTAGGGTCTTAGACTTAGGATAACTTAGATTATACTATTATTTTTATTGATCAGATTACGTAGAGAGACTAGCTGAAAACAAATAAAGAGGTGCAGCAATGTACTTTTTGGATGGTATTTTTGTGCCTTAATAAAACAGCCGACTTTATTTTTTTGAGTGTTTGCCACGTGCCAGGCACTGTTCCGAGCACCGTAAATGGAGGATTTCAGGTACTCCTCAGCACGACCTTTGGAGAGGGGAACTATCCCCATGGTGCCGCCGAAGGAGCTAGCACAAAGGACAGCTGCGTCACTTGTACCGGACTCCCCCGGTAAGAAGTGAAATGCGGGTCACATCCAGAATGTCCTGCCTGGAGACCCCGCTCTGCACTGAAGCGCCATGTGGCTTGGATGGAATTTATAACATCAGGGCAAGCGCAAGCCCTTTCCTTTGCTGCCCAAGTTCACATCTCTCTCAGAGAGTGGAAGGCGGCATGAGCCGGGGGAGAAGAGTGCGATGTGGCTGGTTCTCCTGGCTTTCCCTTTGGGTCCCATCCACCTTTCTGCTGGGACCTTAACGTTTTCCATGCGTATTTCACAGCTCTTCTACGTATCTGCTTTTATTCCAAAATGCCAAACACTCTTTTAAGAACAACTCTTTCAGAGGCAAGGAAAAGAGAGAAGGAGAATGAACTGCTGCCCAAGGAGACAGGCGGAGGGATGGGGCCTGCTGTCTGTCTGACGGTGGCAGTCACTCTCGGTCTGAGCCAGTTCTAGGCCAGGCTCAGCATCTGTGTCACCTGTGGTTCTTACTGTTCTCTAAGCAATGCCTTGTTCTCCCCATTTGAGGGAAGAGAAGGCTCACATCAGAGTGGTTAGGTAGCTTGCACAGAGCAGACACAGCTGGTGCGAGGTAGATGAGGAATTTGAACCCAGCCCTGCTCGTCAGTGGTTATAATACTTCTTTTGTTTTCAGCAAACAACTCTCAAGACCCTTTCTTCAAAGAGCTCGTACTTCAATCCCAGAAAGCCAGGAGTCAACGTTGCAGGAGTCAACATGGGGGCCAGCTGCTTGATTTTACCGCAGTCATGCCCCCACCCTGTGTCCTGTATCTGTGGCCTCACAGGGAGCCTCTGAGAATCTGCAGGGCATTTGTTAATGCCATGCTTAACTTCTTTGCTCTCACGGATGTTGACCAGTTGATGAGGATAATGCTCCTCTTAGGATAAAGGCAAGATCTTTGTCTTCTTCCAGAGCGATAGAGCACAGCTTCTGGTGTCACAACTCCCCTTCCCTCCAGGATGGGTTTGCATCTCCCTTCCCCCTCCATGATGTTGAGCAAGTGACTTACCTTCTCAGCAACTTTGGTTTCTTATCTTTAAAATGGGCATGGAGTTGGGGACACCTGGCTGGCTTAGTCAGTAGAGCATGCAACTCTTGATCTTGGGCTTGTGAGTTTGAGTCCCACATTGGGTGTAGAGATTCCTTTAAAAAAATTCTTTAAAAAACCGGGCATAGAGTCATTATGATGGTTAAATAAGGATGACAACAAAACCCAACAATCCTTCAGCTCAGTGACTTCCAATAAATGTTTATTGCTATTATTAGGAATGCTTTACCCCCACCCCAAATTTCCATGAGGAGATATTATCCTAAATCCTCCTGGCTGCTTTTATCAGCAGGGCCTCTTTTTCTCCTTGACTAGCTCTTTGGAAAGAATAAACTGGGCCCCTCTTTCCTCTGGGAAGGAAACTGCTTTAGGTCTTACCTCAACAGGTCTGCCAACCTGAGGGCCCAGTTCACTGTCTACTGGTTCTCCCTCTGAGCCTTGTTCTCCATGAAAACTAATAAAGGGGATATTTTAGGTTTTTCATCTTCTGACTCTCTTCTTTCTCAATTCATTTAGAACCAGAGCAGGAAAGAGATATACTGTGTGTTCAGCTTCCTTAATATTCTATCATGAGTCTTTGCTCTCTTCCTCTCCCAGTTCTCATAGAGCCACAGAACTTTAGGATTCAAAGATTTTTTAAATGACTGAAATTAATTTCACCATTCCTGCCCCTGGTGTCATTCAACCCTTGCTGGACACTTCCAGTAATGAGGAGCTTGCTTTTTCAAGAGGAAGCGCAGGGTGTCTGGGGGGCGGGAGGAGGCGGGGATGCTCTAGATTGGGCTGGAATTGCCCAAGGTGGGTGGTTGGATCTGGCAGAGTGGGGCTTTCAGGCCATCCTGTACTCGGTATAAAACATTCAGATTAGATTTTCTTTGGGAGACAATACGGGCCTGAAGCCTGCTCCCTTTCAGGTAATTATTTTAGAAAATTCCTTTTCCAGTAAGTAGTCAGAATTGGCTGAGGGAGAGAGCGAGTGTTCTATGTGTTCTTTGGCATCTTATCCTGAGAAATTTCCCACCACCTCAGTGTACCTGCTGAGCAAATTCTAGCTTTGTGGCTTGTCCAGAATGATGCAGGACAATGAGCCTCATGGCACTTTATTAACTTCCTGGCCTCTGTGCTCCAGAGTGGGGCATGTGCTTGTGTGACTCCCATCAGGTCACCTCCTGAAAGCTGAGTGTGGTGCGTACTCTGGTGGCAGGAAATAAAACTGCCAGGGAAATTCTCCTTCCAATGCCGGAGATGCTAAATGACAGCTTCAGAACACTCACCTCAAATATACCTGCCAAGTGGAAGAAGACTGATTTGGGATCTGCTTATTTATACTGTTTGTTCTTAACATTAAGGTGACATGCAGGGGGCCCTGGGTGGCTCAGTCGGTTAAGCGTCTGCCTTCGGCTCAGGTCATGATCCCAGGGTCCTGGGTTCGAGCCCTGCATCAGGCTCCCTACTCAGCGGGGAGCCTGCTTCTCCCTTCCCCTCTGCCACTCCCCCTGCTTGTACTCTCTCAAGTAAATAAATAAAATCTTTAAAAAAAAAGGCGACATGCACTTAAAGCCGGCAAATGTTAAGAAACCAAACTCCTGAATAGAACCTTTACAAAAAATAGCTTTACTGAGAATTCACATTCCTCCAAATCCACTGTTTCAAATGTTCAGTTCAGTGGTTTTTAATGTGTTCATAGGTTTGTGAAATCACCACCACAATCAGTTTTAGAACATTTACATCACCTGGAAAAGAAACCCTGTGACTGTCAGTATTCATTCCCATCCCCTCCCCGCCCCCCCACCGCCACGAGCCCCTGGAAACCACTAATCTCCTTTCTGTCTCAATGGATTTGCCTATTCTGGACATTTCATACACATGGAATCATAACATATGTGGTCTTTGCATCAGGATTCTTTCACTTAGTGTAATGTTTTCAAGGTTCATTCATGTTCTAGCATGTATCGATACTTCTTTTTATTACCCAATAATATTCTGTTGAATGGGGATACCACAGTTTGTTTATCCATTCGTCAATTGATGGACATTTGGGTTGTTTACAACTTTTGGCTATTATGAATAATGTTTTTGTGAGCATTCATGTACAAGTTTTTGGGTAAACGTATGCTTTAATCCTAGCAGAATTGCTAGGTTATATTTTCTAAATAACCTTTCTTTTTTATTATTATTAACATATAATGTATTATTTGTTTCAGGGGTACAGGTCTGTGATTCAGCAGTCTTAACGCAATACACAGTGCTCACCAGAAGCACATACCCTCCCCAATGTCCATCACCTAGCCACCCCATCCCTCCCACCCCCCTCCACTCCAGCAACCCTCATTTTGTTTCCTGAGATTAAGAGTCTCTTATGGTTTGAGGGTGCCTGGGTGGCTTAGTCGTTAAGCGTCTGCCTTTGGCTCAGGTCATGATCCCAGAGTCCTGGGATCGAGTCCCACATCAGGCTCCCTCCTCGGCGGGAAGCCTGCTTCTCCCTCTCCCACTCCTGCTGCTTGTATTCCTGCTCTTGCTATCTCTGTCTCTGTCAAATAAATAAATAAAATCTTTAAAAAAAAAAAAAAGAGTCTCTTATGGTTTGTCTCCCTCTCTGGTTTATTCTTGTTTCATTTTTTCCTCTCTTCCCCTATGATCCTTTGCCTTGTTTCAAACTTGCTTTTTTTTGTTTGCTATTCTTGGGCCCCATATTCTTATTCTTTGTATTTATATTCACTTCTGTGCTGAATGCTGCCTATGACTTGATATAAAGTTAATACAGCTGAGACCCAGTTTAAAGTTCTTTGTAGAAATAATTAAAAATTACTCAATAATTTTGAGAATAAAGTGACAATAAACCGAATCATAAGAATTCTTATCATATAGTGTTACTGCTAGATTATTTTTGCCTTTGCTCTCTTTTTTTTTTACCAGCTTCTAAAATTTGAAGATTTACATATTTTATTTTTCTTTTCCAGAATCGCAATGAAATAAAAAATGGCACTATCCTTCGATTAACCACATCTCCAGTAAGTTGATCTTAGTGTATAGCTTTCCAGTAAATACTTTGCTCTCCAGTTCTGCTATATGTGATTATGAGATGTTAGTTTTTGAGGGTGACTTGAGTGCAAAACAGAAGGTCTCTGGAATGTCCTCACATGTGGATTAGCAGGAATGCCCTTCCTTATATTTCCCATTACAGAGGAGGAAGCTTTTATTTCAGGTTAAGTGCAAGTAAACTGACTTTAAGGTTTGAGTTTGGTGGTCATTTCAATAATTCTTGTATTACAGGTGGGATAACTCAGCTCTCCTGATGGGTTTTCACCCACCTGCCCAACACATCCACCTAAAGCCATCTAAGCAAATTCAGTCAACAAACAAAGCAAATCAAACCAAAGACAACCCATTGCCTCTCTTTAAAGTCAGGGTGTGTCTATGTGTAAAAGTGAGAGAGAGTGTTGAAGCATTTTCTAGTTTTGGCCAGTTATGATGACGATTCATAATAATGTAGTTTGAGAAATATTTGCCACTTAATCTGTTTCATTGACAGCTGATTCTAGATAAAAACACTTTAAAGTCTTCCAAATAAAAGCTGCTAAACAAAATGCTATAGAATATTTAGACTACTGTAGCTGGCTGTGTAGCTTATCTTCATTTTTCTTACTTGCTTGTAGATACTTTGGATAGTAACATTAGCATATTTAAACTGGATTATTTCACAGTGCATTTTATTGCTTTCCTAAAAAATAATCTGCACAAAATACACCAAGTGTTACTATTTTCACTCTGCATATGTGACAAAAACTGTGTCTAAATCTTATTTTCAGTTTCCACTGAAGCCATGTGGTAGGCTAAAAATAAATTTAAAAATTGGGAAAAGCATCTGGCTAAAGTTAAATTGTGGGTACTCTACCACACATTCTTCTTGTTGAAAATTACATTAGAGAGGCTTAAAAACTCCTAAACATTTTACCCAATAACATCTTGAACCTAAACACGGGACAAGCTCGACAGAATGCATGGCTGGAGTTGGCCAAAACGTCTTCTGATGCCTTCTTTCCAATTACTGGAAATTATCATTCATGCTCATTTTTCAGTGGCCACATGATGAGCTGAGACATTTTTGTCTGACTTAGCATTGACCTTACTTTAGTCAGCATGAATTAATGCTAAGTTGACCTTTCGAGACCACCGTTTCAGCTGATTTTTGTAGTTGCTGTTTATCCTGTTACAATTGCTCATCTGCTCGCTGGGCAGAAAGAGTACACCTTGCCTTTTGTTAGGTCTTAGAACTAGAGAGGCTTGGTTTTTACACCGAGATCTCTAAGCCAAAGAAGACGTTAGTTCTTTTTTTTTTTTTTTTTTTTATTGCCATGGATTCGTGAACATTTCCACAATGTAAGCCACTCCTCCGAAGAAGGTTAGGTGTGGCAGGGTGACGTTTTTTGGCGTCCCGAAAGTCCGTGCTCTTCAGGTCGTGACCTTCACATTCCCAGCACGGTGAATGGTAGGATGTGGACGCCACTGCGCAGGGCAGCATCATAAGATGGGGTCCACCGACAAGAGGCTGGGTTACGTGTTCTAAAGAGCAGGGGTCCCCAAGCCTGAATCATTGGTGGAACTCTAAACATGCTGATGTTTGGGCCTCTACAGAGAAGCTGAATTACGATATCTAGAGGAGGTCCAGGAATCTGCATGTTAAACAAGCATTTTACGATTTGGCTGTTAGCCCTAGGGTCTAGAATTGGACATTATTCTAGAAGCAAGGTATTTTGGCTCTATAAAGTTCACTTGTTAGTAGATTTTTTTTTTTTAAAGATTTTATTTATTTATTTGACAGAGAGAGAGACAGCGAGAGAGGGAGTACAAGCAGGGGGAGTGGGAGAGGGAGAAGCAGGCCTCCCGCGGAGCAGGGAGCCCGATGCGGGACTCAATCCCAGGACCCTGGGATCATGACCCGAGCCGAAGGCAGACGCCTAACGACTGAGCCACCCAGGTGCCCCAGTAGATTTTTTTTTTTATTATTTTATGTTTAACTGAACAATATGGGTCAGCATATGCTAACTCTTTCACTTTTATACACACAAAAAATGTTAAAAAAATAGAACCGTCTCCATCAAATTCGCTAGGAAGTGTTAGTGTACCATCAAGAAATGAGCAAATGGTGTTACGCCATAAGGATGTTCCGTTCTTTCATCTACTTTGGCTGAACTCTCCCTGTAGCCAGACAGAACGCACACAGCCCTACATGTGTGTGCACATTTACGCTGCTTTAGGTAACGTGCATCTGTGCTGACTTCTGCCTCTGTGACCTCGGCCAAGTTATAGAACTTCTCTTGCACTTCAGTTTCCTGTGTACAATGAAGATGGTGAGGACACCTGCCTGATAGGATTACTGTGTAGATTAAATGAATTCCTTCATGAGGGTATTTAGAAGAGTGGCTCATAAAAAGCCCCAGGTAACTTCCGCTGTTTTTATTACTAGTATTAGCAGCACCCAACACTGTTAGTTAACATTAATACTGACAGTGAGATAATCTTTGAGTACTCCTTATTATCATCATCTGTACAGTAAATGCCGACATCCTGCTTGGAGAAAAATGTATTTTTCGAGCAATTCAAAGTCATCCACTTGGGTTAAATATATGTTAATGCTGTATGTCCATTTGGAAATTGTAAGAACAGTGTATCTTTGAGTGATTTTAGAAGATGAAGTGATTCTTGCTCAACCCTCCATTCTCCCTCTTAAAAACATGGGATTTAGGGTTGGGGTGATTTGTCAGATATCTAGGGATCTGTGAATGAGTAGAGAGAGTTCTCGTTCTCCTCCTTCCTTCGCCCCCTCCTTATTTCTGATGCAAGGTGTCAGTTGGTGGTTATAACTACAGTGGGAGACCACTGTGTGTCTCTGACCAAGTGGGGGAGGGGGCGTGGGGTTCATTCCTGTCTTGGTCCCTGGAGGGTTGGCATTAGTTTCCCTGCTGGGTCCCCTTCCCTTCTGGGTGCTACTTCCAGGTGAAACGAAAGGGGGACCTGGGCTGTGGAACCTGTTGCGGTGGAGAACCTTTGCTGTCAGAACCTGTGTGGATTCTCTTCTTTCCCTCTGCAATCTTGACCCCGTTAGAGCTCACATGGGGCTCCTTGGGGAGTTCTCATGAGTTTCTGTTCAGAAGATAACCTCACTGTTGGGGACAACTACACCCTCTTCCCCTTTCTCTGAAATATAACGAGCTTCAAAGGAAAAAGCAAGTGCCCAAGAGGGAGAATATGAGGATGGCAAAGGCACATTGCAGTTTTGAGTTAGATAATAAGTACAGCAGATGTTGAGTTATTTCCATTAAGCAGAAATACAGACAGAAAAATTTAGTATTTTATTTTTCTTCCTGTCTGCCCCAACTGAAAAGTAGATATGAAAACCATTACTGGATGAATGAGAAATAGAAACGGCAAGTTATTATCCAGAAGGTCAGCTCCTCCAATATATTTCCATTCCTCCCTGCCCGGCGTGTCGTAGCCAAGGGCAGATACCTTAAAAAGAAGTCTAATTATAGGCAAAGCGGCTGATTTGGTTTCCAAATTATTTTGTTTGATATTTATGCAGTAATTAGTCAATGCATGTGAAACACATGGCATTGAAAAGTAAAATTTATAAGCACCATTTTGTTGTGCTGGAAAATTTTCAGTAACTGGGAAAGATTATTTGGGTGTCTAATGAAGCTTCTGAACACGGCATGTAGGCAGTTATTACTCAGAATATTGACTGAACAGGTGCTGCATAAATTTGTGTAATTGCTTAACTAAGCAAATAGCTTTTTTTTGTCATTTGTAGATAATAATTTTACTTAAAAGGTAAACATTTTCCCCATTTTCCCCTCCTCACTGCCACTCCAGTTCCTTTTCAGGGGCTTTATTGTTTTTGTGCTCTTGCTTTTCCAAGGGATGGAAATATGGGCTCTGTCAGGAAGGCAGTTGATTCCCATCATGAAATTAACAGCTGTCGCCTGAAGATGGAGTCATTATGGTTGGAAACCTGCCCCCGGTATAGAGTATGCCTATGGTCTTGTGCTTTTGGCCTCTGTAGCTTCGTTTTTCAACGAAACGGTAATTTTTTGTCTGTTGTGGTTTCCTCTGTGCATACTCTTCCTTTTGTTTTCATCCTCGATGAGGCTCAAAATGCCCAGCAGCTGCATGAACGAATCCAGTCGTCGAGTATGGATGCCAAGCTGGAAGCCTTGAAGGACTTAGCCAGCCTTTCCCGGGATGTCACGTTTGCCCAGGAGTTCATAAATCTCGATGGCGTCTCTCTCCTCACGCAGATGGTTGAAAGCGGCACCGAGTAAGCACCTTTTACTCAGACTTCGAGGCTGTCCTGTTCTTTCCAGTATTCTGGGTTATTTGTTCCTTTCCTTGTACTTGCAGTTTCTAGTTTTAAAGACCAGAGATTGACTGCTACCCCCACCCCACAAAATCCTTATGTTTCGAAGTCTTAGACAAGCTCAAAATAACATCTCTGAAGTAATTTTTAAAAGATTATCATTTGAGGGGCACCTGGGTGGCTCAGTTGGTTAAGCATCCGACTCCTGATCTCAGCTCAGGTCTTGATCTCGGGGTCGTGGATTCAAGCCCCACGCCGGGCTCTGTGCTGGGCATGGAGCTTACTTAAAAAAGTTATCATTTAAATGATGAAGTGTATATCCTTAATTATTTAAAATTAAATACAATAAATATTTGTTAAGTACTGTGTATAAAGAGTGGAAGTCGGTAGAATTTAAGAAGATGTGAGCCTTGCCATTAAAAAAACATATGGTGGCAGAATTCAGCTGAGGTATAATTCCTTCTGAGAGCGGGGGAGTCCAGAGGTTGGACCAGTTACAGCTCATGGAACTTGACAGAGGAGGTGTCAGTGAATGGGCCTGGAAGGAGTTTGAGTTCCGTCACAATCAAGAGAGGGATGGGCATTTCTCCTTGGGGAGCTCCCCTTCTCAGGGAAGGCTTTGATTCTGTGGTGTGATTGGGGAGTATAAGGAACAGGATGGGGTAGCTCTTACATGTGTGGACAGATAACTCCCCTGACCACCGAACGCCAGGGTAGGGTCCACATGTAGCTGCTCATTCCCGTATGGTCAGGTGCTACTGGCATTCACTATTAGAGCATGTAAATTAGAGCGTGTGAAGATGCCATGGCAGTTAATTGCATATTAATATGCTAAATCAGTGATGTGCAAAGTTGGTATAGATATTTATGGGGAAAGAGTTAAATGTCACTGAGAATTGGTGTTTAAGCCTGGGCCATTTAGATGTCTCTTCAGTACCTGGTGATGCAAAGAATGAACCGTTGACTGTGCATGTTGCAGACCCATCTTGACCCTCTCCCTTCCTTCATTCTTTTGTTCCTTCGTTCCTTCCTTCCATCTCCTACACGTGGCCTCTGCAGGTGGCACTTGTGACAAATTCTTTTTTTTTTTTTTTTTATCGGCAAGCAGGCTTGGGTGATTTGGAAAGGGTCGATTGTAGACAGGTATCGTTTATTTTTTTAATGAGGGCTAATTAAATTTTTGGTGAACATCAACTTGGAGCAGAGCAGGGAAACTCAAATTCTGGGTGTTACAGGAATCCCGGTGTGCCTTCTATAAATTGGAGATGGAGTTTGCAACGGCTCAAGGGAAGCTGAATAAATTTTTGGATCTCAGGGGCTTGACCAAGGAAAAGGAGAAAACGTTTTACCTGTGTTGGAGGCTCCAGGCTGAGGTCTAGTGTGGAGTGTATCTGATCCCTCATTCTTTGGTACAAATGAGCAGGGGAGTGAGAGTTGTGATTATAAACACCTTCACTGGTCACTGTGGATGACTTCACGTGGTTGCCGCATACGGAAGGTCCTTTTTCATGCCCATCACTGATTCTGGTGGGACAGTGAGCCCTGGGGGCTTCAGCCTCAGTCACATTTACAGCGTGTTAAATGAAAATGTAAAAATGCCCCCACAATTATTATCTGAGTCCCAGCCATTGATGTATCAAAAGCAATCAATGTACTAGAACTGGTCGTAATGTAGCTTGCTAATACTCGGTGCTTCTGCCATGGATACCTAAGTATCCAGGGGCTTACACATTTGAACATTCAGAATGATACTGTGTTAATGCTTCCAAATTTAGCAGAATTGCAATCATAATTGCAATTACAGTGTGAAATACACTGAAAGCAGGGGTCCATGTGATTTGTACCCTGAATAGAGATCTGGGGCTGAGCTCTGGGACCTCCAAGGCTGGCAGTTACATATTTTGACAATGAGGAAAAATACATGTTAGGAGCTTCAGTTTTGTTTTTTTGTTTTGTTTTGTTTCCATTATATTTGTTTGCTAGGGCTGCCATAACAAAATATCACAGACTGGGTAGCTTAAACAACAGAAATTTATTGTCTCATAGTTTCGGGGGCTGGAAGTCCAAGATCCAGGTGTTGGCAGCATTGGTTTCTTCTGTGGTCTCCTCGGTTTGCAGATGGCTGCCTTCCGGCTCTGCCCTCATGTGGTCTTTCCTCCACTCATTCCTCACGTCTCTCTGAGGGTCCACATTTCCTTTTCTTATAAAGACACCAGTCAGATTGGATTAGGAGACACCCCTCACAGCCTTATTTTAACTTCATCCCCTCTTTAAAGGCTCTGTCTCTAACTACCATCCCATTCTGAGGGACTGGGGGTCTGGGACTCAACATAGGAATTCTAAGGGGACACAGTTTAGCCTGAACACTCCTCAAAGGGACACTGCCCTTTCTGCTTGAGAAGAAAAAGAGTGAACACTGATGCTATGTATTTGTCTCGTCAACATTATTACTTATTATCTGTGTCATTGCCTTGCTCTGTAACTCATCTCGACCTGTAGAGGGGCCCCAAAGAACCACTACTCCCCAGACTGAGGACTGGGGAGGCATGTCTGAATTCTTTCTCCATGTTGCACATGGATAACCAGAGAGGACGTTGACACCGCATGTGCTTTATGTGAACTGTGGTCATTGAATTCCTTTCTTTGAAAAGCGTGTTATAGTTACTAGTATTTTAACGATTTGTAATCCGTAAGCCATGTTGATTTGTTCCATGCAGCCAGGTTTCAGACAGACAAACAACTCAAGGCCAGATCTTGGGTGAGTTTCCGGTTTGCATTTATCTCTTATGCTTTCCTGTTGCCCTCTGTTACGGGAAGGAATGGTGTTTCTCTGGCTCATGTTTGGTGTCCTCCTTACCGTCTCGCATCAGTTCAAAGTCATGCTACTTTTGGGGATGGAGGAAGGAGGCGCTGGAGCCATGCAGCCTCCTGCCTCTTCTGCTGGGTTCCGCAGCTCATGTCAAGCTGCTCATTTGATGCCCAGCTATTTTTCAGATCTTTTGCTCAGATTAAAAAGATGAGAGAAAGACATTTTTCTTATAAGGAAACCTGGCTTCTCAATTAAACTTAAAGCAAGACTTTAATTAATTAACAGGAAACTTTGGGAATAGAAACTGTACAAATTAAATAGATCCTGCAATTTGGAATGCAGTTAGTCATGACTCCTGGGCAGATTTCCAGCTGGGGAAGGCAGAGGTTGCCTAAGCAGGACCTGTGGAAATTTTTAGGAAACACTGAAGAAATGCAGCTGGAGTTTTTCCCCTTACTTGGAGCCATAATGAGATTCAGAGATTACTCACCTGCTTGTCATTACTCAAGGTCTCTCGTTCCAGTTGGTCCCAGGAGGGGTCGTGGGGCAAAATGGGCAACATAGGAGCAATGAGAGTGTCACTTTGGCAGAGCACAATGTTTCAAACCTGAATTGAATTTTTCCATCCTTGTGGAATTTTGAAGTTCCATTCCTAGTTTAAGCTTGAAACATATGTGTGGAAGGAAGTGAAGCTGTGGGGAAACGTGTTGGCTCAACCTGAGCAAGGCAATGGTGTCAGGTAAGGAAAGTCAAGGAATGGACAGTGCTTTTTTAAAAGCAGGTATTAAGAGTCTTCTCAAGGGGTTAATATCCAAAACATATAAAGAGCTCATACAGTTCAATAACAAAAAACAGCCCAGATAAAAGATGGACAGAACATCTGAATAGACATTTTTCCAGAGGATACATACAGATGACCAACAGGTACTTGAAAGATGCTCAATGTAACTCATCATCAGGGAAATGCAAACCAAAACAACAATGAGATGTTCACTTACAACTGGATGTAAGTCATCCTTCAGGATGACTACTGAAGACAAGAAATAACGAATGTTGGAGAACATGTGGAGAAAGTGAACCCTTGTGCACGGTTGGTGGGAATGTAAATTGGTGCAGCCATTCTGGAAAACAGTGTGGAGGTTCCTCAAAACATTAAAATTAAAACTACCATATGATCCAGCAATTCAGCGACTAGGTGTCTATCTGAAAAATAATGGAAACATTAATTTGAAAAGATACACACATTCCTATGTTCATGGCAGCATTACTTACAATAGCCAAGATATGGAAACAACCTAAATGTCTACTGATCACTGATGGATGAATGGATAAAGAAGATGAGAAATATAGATATAATGGAATACTACTCAGCCATTTGTGACCACATGGATGGACCTAGAGGGTATTATACTAAGTAATAAAAGTCAGAGAAAGGCAAGCACCACATGATTTCGCTTTCACAGGGACTCTAAAAAACAAAACAAAAACCAAACCCAGAGTTATCATTACAGAGGGAACAGGTTGATGGTTGCTAGAGAGGAGAGGGCTTGGAGGGTCAGCAAAATGTGTGGAGGAGATCAAGAAGCACAAATGTTCAAGTACAAAATAGATAAGTCACCGTGATGTTATGTACAGCATGGGCGAAGTAGGCAATAATATTGTATTAACTTTGTATGGTGACGGATGGTAAGTAGACACCGCGGTGATCGTGTCACAATGTATACAAACGTGGAATCACTATGCTGTACACCTGAAACTCACATAATATTGTATGCCAGTTACATCTCAATAAACAAAAAAGGACTCTCCGAAATGAGGTATTTTATTTTAATTGAAAGAAAAGAAATCATACCTGCCACCCTAAGTCCAGTGTAGTGAATAACACTGCCTCTCTTGGGCTTTCAATAAAACATCCTTGTTCTTTGTCTATGCCTACGCACCCAGTCAAGTGGACAGTTTATCCTGTGTCCTTCCAGTGCTAAACAGAAGAACAGGGGGAGCATTTCCAAGAACGAAAGGGCAGGATTCTTACAGTTTCCTTCCCACTTGGCTATGTGACAGGAAAATTATGCTGTTGGAGTATGAGTAAGCTGTAGCACCACCCTGGTCAGAAAAGTCAAGAGAGAAGAAAAGTTAAATTCATGTATTTACA